AGTCACCTCATAGAGGGCCTGGGTATACTATACACAAGGAATAAGTCGTAATATAAGGCAGACCATGATAAGTCCTACAGGTGAACACTAAAATCGCAGAGTTCCAAAGGTAAAAGCTCCCCATGCATGCCCTTCTCTTTAAAGACCAGAGAACTGAGGCCTGATCAGTCAAGTGAGTTGGTCAAGGTCACAGCTGATGGACTTTTGAAGACAGATCCCATCTTTTGGCTTGATTATGCTGGGAAACAAAAGAGGGTTCTCTGAATACACTTGTAAGAAAGCTCACCTTGTGGAGTTGGACAACATTTCCAAAAATTCTTCAGTCCATTTATACTTTAAGAGCCCTCCTCTTTCCCCAAGGGGCTTAGCGAACTCTCATAAGGAGATGGACAAGGCATAAAAGCAGCAGTCCAGTTGCATGCGTGTGTAGGGGACACCTGCAACGAGGCCTGTCTGTTCTGCCTGTTCCTCTAGCAGCTACCCTGAGTGACTCCTTCTGTTAAGTTAGGCAGCATATTCAGTGCAACCCCCAGGATGGGCGGATGACAGAGGGAGAGGCTGGTGGGCCCTGGGGTTGCCGTGAGGTGGGTCTCCCACAGGAGGTGGGCCCCAGTCAGTGAGCTCCCTGGAGACAGACCAGCAGGCTCCATGACCTGCCTCCTGCCAGCCTCACCTGCCACCTTCTGCCCCTTCTCAGGACGCCTTGAGATCCTGCTCTTCACTTCCAGTGGCGGATGTTCTTTGGGTTCTCTTGTCTGTCAGCCTCCCTTGATCCTCCCAGGTGTGACCTGCCCTTTCCCTCCCTTCCCTCCCAGGACAAGCACGCGGAAGAGGTGCGGAAAAACAAGGAGCTGAAGGAAGAGGCCTCCAGGTAAAGCCCAGAGGCCAAAGAAGTTTCCAGAACAGCCGGACAGCTCCAGCAGCTCCACAGTTCCCGAGGCAGCCTCGCCAGCCGCCGGCTGCGCTCCCAGCACTGGGGTTTGGGGGGGAGGGGGGTGGCCAGGGGTGTTTCCTCTGCTTTTGGTGTTTGTACATGTAAAGAGTTGACCAGTGAAGCCATCCTATTTGTTTCTGGGGAACAATGATGGGGTGGGAGAGGGGAGAGGAGAGAGGTGGGGAAAGGGAGATGGAGGACTCATGGACATTGCAACCCTGCCC